ACCCTGACTGCCCAAAACCTTCTCCACACCCCCAAAAAGCCCCCCCCGAACTCCCGACCCCCCCGTCTCTTGACTGCCCCCTCCAAAACCTCCCTGCCCCTTCTCCAACCCCCTGCCCCCCTTGTTGTTGGCCTTTCTTCACCTAATGTCTCGGTGAACTTGCTCAGGAACTGCATGAGCCGCTCGTCCGGCACGCTGGGCAACAGTGGGGGAGGAGCTCCAGACTGCCGGAGCCGATCTGCGATGCAGGCAGGGAGCAGGGAGGGGGGGGGCAGTGATCTCTGCTGCAGGGGGAGAAGGAGGACGTGCTCTCTCTGGCTGAGTGTCGGAGCCCCATGTAAGTGGCACCGTCCGGCCGGCACCACTGTTAGCCGCGCGGACTCTGCATCAGGGGGAAGTCCGGACATTTGCAAATTCCCCCCGGATGCTATTTTTAGCTTAAAAAGCCGGACATGTCCGGGGGAATCCGGACGAATGGTAACCCTATCTAAGTGAACTCAAATCCATATTTTTTTTTAATTTGTTTTACTTTTGCACAGTTCTATTTTCAAGATAAATGGACATGCGTAAGGTTTCTAAGCTCTGCTTTTGATTTAACTTTTCAAATTTTATAATGTGATAGGCTTCTGGAGTGAAATCCTGCCCCACTGAATACAATGGGATTTTTTTGCGATTGATTTAAATGGATCCAGGATCTCACCTATTTTTTTTTTCAATATTTAAAAATCTGCCACTCCAGAAGTTTGAAAAACACTCTTTTGTGCATCGTCTACAGCGTCTGTAAAATAACAAGCAATGCACTTGATCCTGTGAGTAGAGCTGGTTGGGAATTTTTTGACTAGCCATGTTTTCTGTTGAAAAATGCTGATTTGTCAAAAACAAAAAAATCATTTGTGAAATAGATTAGGATTTGATTAATCTCCCAACTTGAAAAAAAATCACCTCATCTGATGTCAGTGTCCTCCCCCCCAAATCTAACTGGCCCCTAACTCCCTCCTCCCATTTCTCACACTGGTTCATGGTCCCAGTCTCCCCCACCCCAAATCCCAGTCCCAATCTCCTTGTCCTACCTAGTACAGCCTCCCCTACCTCCCAGCTTCCAGTCTCCAGTAACAGTCACTGGTTTCTTCCCCTGCCCCACCCCGCCAGTCTCAGTTTCACCAGACTCCTCGTTCCAATTTACTTCTTTCCTTCTCCCCAGTCCGGTTTTTGCCCACTCTGCATTCAGCTCCAACAACTTCCTCCTCCATGCCTGCATGCCAACAGAGGGGTCATTGAGAGCACAGGAGAGACAGGCTTTCAATTCCTGTGCCGGCCCCATCCTGGTACAGAGCAGCTGAAAGTATCTATTTCAAGGAAAGTCCAGCTTTGCCCTGTAGTCCTTGCTAGAGCATCCTGGGTTGCTTTCTGGGAATGGTGCAAGGGCAATGGAGTTGGTAAGAAATTTTTCTGATGGAACAGTTTTCTGTTGGAAAATGCTGATGCTTCAAAATTGAAACATTCTGGAGGAACGTCTCAATTTCAACAAATTTCTGACAGACGCCTGGCAGGTTTCCAACAGAAACCTTCCTGGTTTCCGGCCTGCCTCCCTCCCTGGCTCCTCAATAGCCTTCAATGTGGCAGCCTGCCAAATTTGGGCAGATTTACACCGAAATGGTAAAAGGCACATCCCTGGCACAAATGCCACCTTACTGTAAAAAATCCAAGTCTCTGCTGCAAAGCATGGAGGTGCTAGAGCTTTTTAAAGAAAACATCACCAGAATTTTACATGAGCACATTAAGGTATTTTCCCCTAGCCTCATTCTTAGACACAACTACATTGTTTTGGTTGAAATTTTCCAGAATAATTCAGCCTGAGGCAGACACCCAGCATGTAAAATTTCAGCCTGAATTGTTAAAGGTTGGCAACTGAGAACAGAGTCTTATAATGGGAAGTGTTAGGCAACCTTAATAATAGGCGGCACTACCAGTCCTGCCTACAGTATCCTGACTGGAGGCTCTTTTATTCGTCTACATTCAATACTATATGTCCACCGTATGCCCTTAAAATGACAGGAAACACTAGTCAGCTTTGGGCCTTCAAATGCTAATAGGCGGTGATGTGAAGATTATTATGATACAATGACTACAATGTGCAATAAAATAGAGCTAAAGCAACAAGAATGTTTGTAAGTGGGGGTGGGAGAGGGAGATTAATTAATTAACTTTAGTTAGAATATCCAAATTACACGTACATCACTGTTATAACTAGAGTAACCTAACCCACATAGGGTAAAGTTTTCAGTGCAGTGCCTAATGAATTAAGTGGTTACTCCTTTTATTGTTAATAAAGTTGCCTGCTTGCTTCCTCGTCTATCTTATAATTAGGGCCCTACCAAATTCACGGCCATAAAAAATGCATCATGGACTGTGAAATCTGGTCTCTCCCTGTGAAATCTGGTCTTTTATGTGCTTTTACCCTAGACTATACAGATTTTACAGGGAAGACCAGAGTTTCTCAAATTGGGGTCCTGACCCAAAAGTGAATTGCAGGGGGTGGTCGCAAGGTTATTTTAGAGGGGTTGCGGTATTGCCACCCTTACTTCTGCATTGCCATCAGAGCTGGGTGGCTGGAGAATGGGGGGCTGGTGGCCGGGCGCTCAGCTCTGAAGGCCGTGCCTCGCCAGCAGCAGTGAAGTAAGGGTGGCAATACCATACCATGCCACCCTTACTTCTGTGTTGCTGCCTTCAGAGTTGGGCAGCCAGAAAGTGGCGGCTGCTGCCTGAGGGCCCAGTTCTACAGACAGCATCACAGAAGTAAGAGTGGCAATACCATACCATGCCACCCTTACTTCTGCGCTGCTGCTGGCGGCGGCTCCGCCTCCAGAGCTGGGATCCCAACCAGCAGCTGCTGCTCTCCAGCTGCCCAGTTCTGAAGGCAGAGCCGCCGCCAGCAGCAACACAGAAGTAAGGGCAGCAGTACTGCAATCCCCCTACAATAATTTTGCAAACCCCCCACAATTTCTTTTTGGGTCAGGACCCCTACAATTACAGCACCGTGAAACTTCAGTTTTAAATAGCTGAAATCATGAAATTTACTATTTTTTAAATCCTATGACCGTGACATTGACTAAAATGGACCATGAATTTGGTAGTAGAGCCCTATCTATAATAAATAGTGTTAGCGTCTCTTAGCCAAACTAAGAATATTTACAAAAAAGATGTTCGATTTTTTCATTTTTTTCCATTCTGCTTTAATAAGAAATTAACGTCAACTATTTTTTCCCCTCAAAGTACTTTACTTTATTCTGTTTAGGGGAAAAAATGGGTTGGATTAAACCAGGGGTGGGCAAACTATGGCCCGCGGACTGCATCCAGCCGGTCAGACCTTTTAATCCAGCCCTCGAGCTTCCGCCAGGGAGCGGGGCTGGGGGCTTGCTCCGCTCTGCGCGGCTCCTGGAAGCAGCAGCATGTCCCCCCTCTGGCTCATATGCGTAGGGGCAGCCAGGGGGCTCCACATGCTGCCCCCGCCCCAAGCACCAGCTCTGCAGCTTCCATTGGCTGGGAACCAGCCCGGAGTCCCCTCCCATACTCCAAACCCCTCTTCTGCACCCCCAGCCTGCAGCCCCCTCCCGCATCCTAGCCCCTGCCCTAGCCCGGAGCCCCCTCTCACACCCTGAACTCCTCATTTCTGGTCCCATCCCAGAGCCTGCACCCCCAGCTGGAGCCCTCACCCACTCCCGCACCGCAACCCCCAATTTCGTGAGCATTCATGGCCCACCATACAATTTCCATACCCAGCTGTGGTCCTCAGGCCAAAAAGTTTGTCCACCCCTGGATTAAACAGACAGAAAATAATTACATAACCAGATTTGAAAAATCTGAATCTAGATATAAGCAGGTCCATCGACACCTGTGAGACTTGGCTTTATGAAGAGATTGGGGAGTTGAAGTTTCTGGACTAGTACTATCACACTGAGAAGATTACCAGGATTGCAGCTTGCATCTTGTACAGTTTATTCTTAAAGTCATTTTGTTGGCTGTATTGGAACTTTGCTCCTCTACCTCCAAGTATTGTGTTGGGTTGCAGGATTAGTCCCTATTGTGTAGGGAGGGAAGAGGTGGAAACCAGCATATTTGTACCCTGGAATTTATGCTAGACTAGAGTGAGTGAAATTTTATGCATTTAAATTTGCCTTTATAAGTGGAAGATTAAAACAGCTTTATCCTTTTTCTATAGACATTAATAGCAATGTATCTGGTGACTGCTGCTGTTGGGGTAGAAGTTTGGCACAAACCTTTCCTATTTGGTTATTACATTACAGATATATTAGTAATCTTGCTGATAGGTAAGTCTCCAGAGCTGTGAAAACCTAAATGGTTTTTCATAGCCTATTTGCTTCTTTTTCTTTATAATTATTTTTTTCTTCCTACAATATTTGTTATCTGCCACTGAAAGCAATGTGTTTACAGAGTGATTTAATAAGGTCAATATTGTAGTGATTTAGAGAATCTCCCACAGAGAAATGGAAAATATTGGAGAAATGTTTCCTCCTCATGTTCATACTTTCTGATGCTCACTAACTCACAACTGACAAACAGAAGAACCTGAGTTCAATCAGGGGGTCTAATTCTTTTTGCTGCTTGGTTGACAGGTTTCCAAAGATTCAAGTGTAGTTAATGTCACACAAGTAAGATTGCTTTCATTATTCAGGTTGTGGGGGAGAGAGAGACATGGGATTTGTGTGTATGTGTGTTTATTAGTATGAGTTTGATCCTTTTAATCCATAATACAATAGGTTCTTAGGACAAGATCCTCAAAGGTATTTAATCTTCCAACTTCTATCGATTTCACCTGACGTTCAAATCCTAACTAGCTTTGAGAATTTGGGCCTTAGATACTATTGGTACAAAGTGTTGTGGTGGAAAGAATGAAGGCTTTTACTGTTTAAATAATGTTAGGAGACAAAACTGTAAACCTGACTAGCAGGCTATTCAGTTTTTAAAGTATTTGTAGAACAGAAATGCTAAAGTGTTGTGTTTCCTCCTACTAACTAATGTTTAGCATTACTTCCTATCTGATGGAATCACTTTTCTTTCTAGATTCTGATATAAGCACTGAAAACTTCCTAAGCCAGGAAACATACAGCATTATATTGGAAAGAGAACAGGAGTAGTTTTATCTTTTAACAGATTAAAATAATGAGTTTTCAATAACATGAAATCAGGAATGTAACTGAAATATCTTCCAGGATTTAGCTGGAATGCTAAGAAATTAACATGCAAATTTTGAATATCCTGATGTATTAGATTTTATTTGTAATGAATTTAATTATGAAGAGAAAAGACAGGAAAAGGAGAAGTTGGTCTAATACATCCAGTATGGAAATAATTCTTAGGAAACATTTGCACTCTTTGAGCCAAATTAAGCTCTTGGGTATGTGTTTTTATCACCCATTGACTTCCCTAGAAGCTGTACAAATGTGTTTGAGGAGATAATTTAATTGTGCCTATTAAATTCACACACACTCTCCCTCTCCCACCCCCACTTACAAACCATTAAAAGCTACTATCTTCAGCTTCAATTGTACCTTCCAGGAATTCACAGATTATAAAGAAGTAGAGCTATTCGAGAGACCCTGTTTATAGGCATAATTTTTAGAAGGCATGTGTACAAGGATGTGTTTTTGTTTCCTCTCTTGCTTTATCTTCAATGTAAAATCTTATGACGGCAGCCAGAATTGTATAATCCTTTGTATTTCAGGTCCACAATATGCCCATTTTGACAGGGCCGGCTTTAGGCCGATTTCCCCGAATTGGGCTCTGCACCTAAGAGGGCCCCACGCCTAAGAGGGCCTCGCGTCCAGCCAGAGCATGGCAAGCCCATGGCCCCGCTCCCCCGGCCAGAGCGCCGGGCGGAGCGCTGCAAGCCCGTGGCCCCGCTCCTCCCGCCGGAGTGCAGCAAGTCCCGCGGCCCCGCTATCCTGGCCGGAGCGCGGCAATCCCCGCGGCCCTGCTACCCCGACCGGAGCCCAGCAACCCCGCGGCCCGCTTCCCCAGCGGAGTGCGGCAAGCCCCACGGCCCCGCTCCCCTAGCGGAACACCGGCTCGAGTGCTGCAAGTCCCATGGCCCCACTCCCCCGTCCAGAGCGCGACAAGCCCCGCTGCCTCCTTCCCCTGGCCAGAGAGCGAGCAGACAGCTCTAAGCATGCGGCCCTGCTCCCCGGACCAGAGCGCGGCAATCCGAAGTGCCACCGAAGACTTGGAGCGCCGCCCGGTGAGTGCAAGCAGGGCCGGCGCTTCCACTAGGTGACCCTAGGCAGTCGCCTAGGGCGGCAGGATTTGGGGGGCGGCATTTTGCCGTCCTCGGAGGAAATTTGGCGGTGGGGGGTCCTTCCGCTCTAGGTCTTTGGTGGAAATTCGGCGGCGGGTCCTTCACTCGCTCCGGGACCCGCTGCCGAAGTGCCCCAAAGACGCGGAGCGGAAGGACTCCCGCTGCTGAATGCTCAGAAGAGGAGCGCTGCTCCTGAGTACAAGCCCCACAAATCAGGCCCCGCATTTGCTAAAGCCGGCCCTGCATTTTGAGCTCTTTGGAGAAAAAAAGTGTGAAATAGAACATGCCACAGTAATATCCCATGAATTTGTCAACTCATTTTATGTGGGAATGCGCTTAAAATGCCATCTGGTGGCTGGAAGTGGGAAAATAGGGAGCTAGCGAATGATTTGTGCACAAGTCAGAGCATCATAGGCACTCTGAGAAGATCGATGCCTGCTTGTCCAGAAGTTGGCTATGTGATGGTGTGATATGCGATCCAGAACTAGTCCATTGCGTGCAGTCTTCCTTTACCAAGCACCTATCTTCCTTTGTGCCTGTCTTTAAGGCACGTGACAACAGTTTAAGGAGAAAAGTGATGACCTTCCTTGGGCTTGACAAGCCATGGATGAAGCTTTAGTTCACACTGTTCAACATATTAAGAAGATTTGTGGAAGGGAGGCTTGTTACAGCTTTAAAATCCCCAGAAGCAAGCAGCCTCTCTTCACTCGCACTCAACCAAAAACCACCTCAAAGCAAAGCTTAATAATATCACTTAAGAGTTACTAGGCTCTGTTTATATATTGCGTGCTAGTCAGGCAAGGGTGATGTGAATGGATTCTTGAAGCAAGAGAACTGAATGTTCTTTCCATCATTGTCTTGGGTAGTTTACACATATCTAAGAACCCAGAGAGGCCTTTCAAATGTCATCTGTCACAGAGTAGTTACAATGCCCTTTGTTGGACAGATTTCATGGCTGGCATATATATATATGACTGTTTTTAACTATGAGAAAACCCCCAAACGAACTATATTAATTGGCTCAGTTATTACTGTTTTCACAGCCCCTTGTAACTTTACTGAAATAGGTCTTCACGTTTGTTTTTAGGGACTCTTCCTTTACATTCACAAAGCAAGAGAGGACAGATGAGAGAGTCCTTGGAATTGACGTTGGGCTAGAAAGCATTTAATCAGTGTCACAAGTTTGAATCTGGGTTCAGTAATAGAGACCAGAAGTGGTTATCATTTGATAGCTGTTCATCAGCTTATGTGCAATGAGTAGGTTCAGTTCAGTTTGTAATGGTAGTCTGAGATCCGTAGCATCATATCCATTTTGCTCTGTGCCAGGATTCCTAAAAGGGCTGAACAGACAGAGAGACTAACCTCTCTTGCAATTCAGTGCCTTTCATGAGTACTTATAAATAGAAAAACAGAGTAATACAACAGGACACTGACACTTTATGAGTTTGTTTCCAAGGCCCCCAATTAAATCATAATGGGGCATCACTTAACCATTTGGTGGCTTTTATTAATCACTGTTGGCACTTTAACAATGAGCCTGTATCTGCTTGATCAATACTTGGCAAAGTATCTGAATGCAGTTTCATTCTCTTCCCACCCCCGTACAGAAACACAGCTGTTGGGCTGTCAAGTTTTTGGACAATCAACTTAGAAGAGCAAGCAAGAGTAGGGTTTGCAAATGTCGCTAATGGATTTTCAACAATTGGAGTCCCTCAGTCAGAACCTAATGGTGAACTTCACTCTTAACACATTCTCAATAGATGTTGTAGTTTTACTGAGTGAGGCTCATGTACTCTCATTACCAGGATTGAGTGTGCCTAAGATTTACAAAAACAACAGTAAAACAGAGTGTTAGATCTGCAGGGCTAGGACACAGTCTTCCTTACTTTCCTGTGAATCACCTTGCATGCTGTGAGTGCATCTAGGAAGTCCAGGGTCAGATACACTGGACAGAAATCTCACTGGAGTCCCAGGTTAAGCAGAGAAACCACTCCAGAGTATTTTACAGTATTTCTTCTGCCACCACGTGAACACACCCACAAAACTTTCATGAGTCCTGGCCACATTTTCATCATGAAGCTCAAATCCTTAAGCCCCAAAACAAACTCTCAGATACACACCAAACAAAATAAACAGGACAGCTCTTCTGTCTACAGAACTCCCTGTCCTGATACCTAGGCAGCAAACGCCTTTTCTATCGTAGTATGAGAGAAGCCCAGTCCCTTTTAGAAGTTCAGACGCTAAGTAGACTCAGCTGTACCTAATTACCTCAACTCAGCAAGGCCCTGAAAGCTCTGTGAGGATTAACCGCAATTGCCCCTCAACACTCTCTGGCTCAGTAGGATCTCCCATAGGGTCACACTGGGACAGGGTGTGTCATAACTGGTCCAGACCCCCCAAATAAACAATGCATAGTACTATAGGGCAGATTATTGATATGAACATTTTTAGAAAAACATGTCTTTTCACACAATTATTTCCCAAGTGAATTTGGTACCTTAAATGAATCCAAAAAGCTGCCATAAATTTTTTGCTCACTTGCAAGCAAAAAAATTACTTTTGACTGCACGGAAAGAAATGCTTTCCTTTCCCCACACCCCACAATATTAATCAAAATCAGAGGTTAGAAAATTGTTCTTGTGCTTGAGGTGCCATTAGAACTTACAGTGGGTTCATTGTATTTCATCGGTGCAGCTCTAAGTGCACAATAGGAAGGCTGTTCTATAATCCAAGCATCGTTGCATGTTTCAAACCTTTGAGATTGGTCAATAAGGATGGGATCCACAAATTGATTTAGGCACCTAATCCCAGATTGTTTGGCTCTACTGCGATCCACAAAACTCCCACTGAACACTGTGGGCACCTAAATCAATTCAGTGCCTAAGTTTTTTAGAGTAAAAGTTCCCTCAGAATCTAAGTTTCTGTCTCTGAGCATGTGCACTGCTGATTCCCTTTAGGCATCTGGACATCTATGTCTCACCTAAGCCCCAAAGCAATTTGAGAACCAGGGGAGGA